CAACCATTCCCTGATCTGACTTTGGATACACAGCCTCCTAGGAGTGATCTGTTGCCTGAGCATAGCAACAAGTCTGTTGTAAATGCTTTGGCATCCAGCAATATACAGATGCCCTCCTGTGAAGAGCTTGGTACAGATGAGACAGATGTGGCTACCTCTGAATCCCTTACACCACCAGTTCAGGAAGAGGAGCCCATATCTATGGAAGATACTGGTGAAGAAGAAACATACCCTCATAGCTTCTCCAGTGACTCCAATGATACAGTGTCTGTCCCAGCTCCAGCTGTGTATTTTACCACCACCACTAAAAGTGACAACTCAGATGGCACAACCAAGTTTACTTGGAATGCTGCCAACAAGTACCTGCATTTTACTTGTAGAGAATACCTTGTTTGTGCCTTCCAGTATGTTTACTGTGGGCTATGTTTTTCATCTGGGCTGCCACTTGAGAACAAGTGCTGGGTTGTACCATGGCCCATCACATTGACATAGATCATTTGCAATAAAATCCCTGAAATGCTTATATCCAGAGTTTATTGAGTTATATACTATAGTTCTACTATACTTAGTGTGTTGGTTTTGATATAAGTAAATTAGTTAAAAATTATCTTTCCATTCTTAAAATTAGGAAAGGAAAAATTTAGTGTTTATAAAGTTAAGATTTAAATCAAATTAGTGTAGTAATCTTATCATTTTTAGTACATGTATTATGGAAGGTACTTAGTATAAGGTCAGTAGACTGTAGTGTTAATAACATTAGTTTTATTGCAGTCTAACCTTATTCAACTCTAATTTATTCAAGCTACTAACATTTAAACAAGAACTGGTAGTTAACTCTCAACTGGAAATAGTTGGTAGTGGACTAATTTACCTACAGTGTTTTAGTTCTTATATTTATAATCAGTTTAGCATCTAGTTAGTGGATAATTATACTTATCTTACCAACATTACCATACCAACATTACCAACATATTAAGTGTTTATTATAACTATAACTTGCAGCACTGTTTAGTTATTATTTAAGGGCATTACTTAAAGACTTGCTTACACAATTATAGTACATGTTCTTTAGTTATTTGTGTACAATAGTCAATACACCAGTATAGCTAATTATATATGCACAAACTACATTACATAAGTTCTAGTATTTCTACATTAAATACTTAGAACAGTTAGACCTGTATTACTACTTCTCTTATTTTAAAATAAAAGGGAGGGGAAATAGTGTAAGTGTAGTTTGTAGATGTAAAAATAGTGCAGAATTTAGAGTATTGTTCTCCATAAGTTACATTTATTTATCAATGTTAAGTCCAAGATAGTGAAGAGAGAACTATCGCTTATGCTAATTTAACCCTGTCATCTAAACAACGATGCTACTGCACAGTTATAGTAAGGAACTTCTTGGCAGTTATAGTCTTTTTCGTAACTTCTTTCGATGCTGGGAAGATGCTTTGCCAAATGTACGCCAGCTAGCTCGTTGGACAGAAATACAACATGACTGTACACAGGGATGGCATACTAATACAGACGCATCATCTAGGATGGACGTAGCTTGTCCCTTTTACAGGTCAAACTTCAACATTGAAGACTTGACTTGTGGTGGAATTCACTACTGGTGCTGTGACCTAGATGATGTAGTTCCTCTCACTGTTCCATGGAGATCTGATCTGGGTGAAGCATATTCAGGCAATACCTAAGTCGTAAATATGCAATGATCTATCCTGTTGCATGTCCTTGATCCAGTTCCTAAGAAAGTCCAAGAATAACTAAACAAGGACTGGTGTAATCATGCAACATACATGCTTTCCGTCAGATACCCGGCTGACCATTCTCAGTGACGGTATTAGGCAGGATTGCTTTATGTAAGATTGTAAATAACCTTATGCTTTCCGAATATATACTAGGCTGACCTTTCTCAGTGACGGTGTTGGGCGGATTGCGTTACATAGTTTGTATATAGTTATTTGTTGTACATTTTCCGTATCTTACCCGACTAACTAATTTTAGAAAGTGACGGTAATGATTCGGAATATGTTTTGTAAATACGTTTGATAATTATATTTCCTGGCTTATCCTATCTTTAGTCGACAATTTAGGAAGCTTCTTTAGCATGTTTAGTTAGTTTAGTTATCAGGATAGGTAGTAAGAAAATATATAGTTTACTTAGTTTAGGTTCTTAGGCTTAAGTTCAGTTACTTAGTATAAGTCTTAAAGTACAGTATTTAGACATTGACATATTTAAGGTGACGGACATACATTAAAATATAATCATATTAAGTTAATTAGCAGTAATATACATCACAGCAGTTTAGTTAATCTGATTGTTGTTAAGTCAGCTAACATATATTACTGCACTCTTGCACAATTTAATTAAGTAAATCAGTTGTATACACGATTAAGTTACATACTGGTACAACTGAATCTCACTTGACTAAAACCATATGTCATGAATCCATTCAGTTTCAGGACTCTCGTGGAAGTAGGTCAGTGTTAGGTCATAGGTAAGTTATATTCCTTTTGGCTATATTAAGTGTTAAAACATAGGAAATGTATAACATACAACATGGAATGCGTATGGCTAAACATGTTCATTTGATCCAATGTGGAAGTTACATGCGGATTATAATAATTCGTATATTAACTTACTTTAATAAATCTTGCCACATACAAACATGTTTATCCTGCAGAACTAAGGTGCTGGACGTAATTCCGTCCAAGTTCATGTGGATACATGAATTAGTTAATACGTTTTCCATGCTATATAAGATTATATTTATATATTTCTGGTATACATTCCTCTAAGTAAATTTCAGTAATTGACCCTATTTTTATTAAATAAAACGGGGAGGAATGTAGTGAAATTGTGTATGTTAATGTATTCCCTATGACCTTTCACCCTGACCTCATACTCATCCACCCGTGCTGGCCAGCATGCTTCCCTAGGCAGTCCGGTCCAGTCCTCAAACCACTCACCACGTGTGTTACCTTTTCCCTTGTTTGTTGTACCTGTACCGTTTTCACCATGTAGAATTTGTTCATTGGTCGTCACCTTAGTTGTATACTTACTTTAAGGTAGGCGACATTCTTACATAGTAAAATGTTCATATTTTACTACAGTTTATTCATAATAAAATATTGTTTAAATTAGACACACTAAACTGTTAAAACCACAATAAATAGAGGAAATTCGCGTCAAAACTTTATTTGAAGTATTCTGTACTGGTTGCAAGTGGCGAAACCATAATTTAACCTTACTTGTGTCTAACATTACATTTATCGGCAAAACAAACGATAATTATTTTTATTTTATCTTGTTAAAATACTGTCTTACTTACAATAGATCGGTTTTGATTGCGAGTTTACTAATCATAATTTGTTCTCTCGAGTGCAAACAGCTGATTTACATGATTTAGTTGGATGCCGATCTCGATGTTTAAAAACATTAAACAGTTTATAGTACACTTCTGCTGTCGCTTTCTTTTCCCAAATATTTTTTTTTTCAGTCAATTAATAAATATCTAATTAAATTAGTCATAAATTGCACTTCTTCTTATGTAATTTTAGAGATGAAGTATAATGAAAGCCCAGATCAGATGCCGATCGTGATTCAATAGCGTCGAATGTCAAACACTTATTTTTCAAGATTTTGCTGAAAATATTAAAAAAACAGAATTCTTTAACAGTCTTGGAACTTTATTACTTCGATTTTACTTCATTTTAAACACTAATTGCGTCTATATAAGGCGATTACAACTTTCTCTGGGTCTAATTATACGAGTGTCGAATTGCACGGCTACCGCTTTTTTCAGAGCGACACTGAGCACTAGCGACAGTTTTCATTGGTACACCGGACGCATTTCATAGCGGTCCGGATTTCTTTCTTTATTAGTGTTCTTAAAAATTTCCAATTCATCATGTAATTAAGTATGTAAATATCTAGTGTTTAGTAGTTTAGTAGTAGTGCTAGTTGTTTTTGTTTCTCTTTTTCCTTTGTTCTTATGACTTTTTAACTTTTTCTTTGTCCTGAGGAAGGGACAGGGCGTCCCGAAAATTTGACAATTTTTTATTGTTCGTGTCGTTGGTCATTTTTAGTGCTTTGTATATATATATATATATATATATATATATATATATATATATATATATATATATATATATATATATATATATTAGGGATGTCAACGAGTACCCGGTTAACCGGGTACTCGATCGAACGTCCGAGTATCGAATACTAAAATCGGTACTCGGTTACTCGGATGTATATTTTTAAATATTTCTAAGCTTTTTATTTAATGCATTGAAACATCGGTTTTAAAACGAAAAATATTCATTGCACTTGTACATACAGCAATTAGGGTTTCCTACGCCTCTAAATGACCGATATCGCCTGTGGCGGTGTTTATACAGTAATTATCGTGACCAAAGACCTGATGTACCTACCTGGCTTTTCTCACCTTCGACTGTCTTCAACCATTATGTTTGGTTAACTTTGCTTTAATTATTAAATAAATTTTGTTTTCATTGAACATCGCTTGAGGTCCATTATATTTAAATAAATTAAATAATTTTGTCAATTCTCCAAGAAGCCAAAATTCTCGGGGAAAGAGACAGAAGATACAAATTATTGCACGTGCGATTGTTGATATGGATGCGTTTGATTACATGCCAATTCATGCAAATGGTTGAACATGTTGAAGGCAAATGCTTTAAAAATCTTATGCCCATCGTTGTTCCAAACTACAACATACCGTATCGTAATTTTATGAAATCTAGGATCAAAAAGTTTACAAAGATCGTAAATCCGCTCTGATATAGGATAACATGATCAAGTTGATACTGTACATAGCTCAGACAACTTATCACTTGGACATCAAACGCACCAAAAAGTTACATTACAACTACGGAACAGATTATTTTTTAAACAAAAACAATGTGAACCATTTATGATTTTATTTGTCGTATTTATGTGAAAAATAAATTGAACTTAAAAATATGTAAGCTTAAATTTCGTCGGGTACAAAGTGGTCATAATTGTTACAACGCATTTGCAGATAACCTCCCATCTGTTTTATTTCTACAAAAGTTTACAATGTTTTACAGTCATCAATTAACTTGTTCATATTTATTTACATTTTTACCGAGTACCCGGGTACTCGATCGGAAAAACGTCCGAGTAACCGAGTATTAAAAATTGACCGATTTGACATCCCTAATATATATATATATATATATATATATATATATATATATTAAAAAAAGAAAAAAAACGACAACACAAGTTGTAAAACGTTAGCGCTTTCATTCAAATTCTTCAGACGTTTTACCTTGAACATTTGACGTTAAAATGTTATGGTAATGACGTTGTCAACAATACAATGACGTCACAATGAATGTTCGGGAAAAAATGCTGAGTATTTAATATCCAACGATCATTCATCTCAGGCAAAGCCCTCGGGAAATATTACTAATCATGGCTAAAAAAAATTTCATATTTACCTTACACTCATGTAATTTATGTATATTATAATAGGGACCCGACATCAAAATTTTAAACCCTAAATAAAAAAAATTCGTAAACTAATTGTTCTTAAACAATTAGAGAACAATAAAAGATCTTTCCACTGAGTAAAATTTTCATTTTTCTTTTGTTTTTTACTCGCAGGGACAAATAATTTGAAAAAGAAACCAGAAATGGCTAAAAAAAATCTAAATTGAATATAATATTAAGGAAGGAAATTAAATAGACTTGGCCTTGACAATGGCAATGAATACATAAGGAGTCACAAGATCCTTTCACACTGAATAAATTGACATCTTTTTTTGAAAAACTGAAAACATCAGTGAAGGTTTGGTGTATATACAATGTATGGTTTTGAAAGAATTATGGTGGCAAAGATTATGGTGAAATGGGAAATACAGACTTAGGGTTCAAGATCATAAATTAAAAATTGGTATAGAAGGACTTATTTACGATACATTAGAATATATCATACATTTAAAAATTTAAGATAAAATATACATGAAAGAGCTGAGTTTCTCATACTTTGAATAACCTTGATCATTAACCTTGATCTAAATTTTACGATCAAAGATTGAAACCTCCAATACATGTTGGTTCCATATACACATGTACCTATGATTAAATGTTCTAAAATCATTATAAAAGTATTTGTAAATATTAAAAATTTCAGGGTAATTAACTCATTAAAGGGTTCAATGAATCCTTTCATTCATAATGACTAAATCTGTCAAAACTTCGGTAAATATTCAGTATCCTTACGGTTTACAGTTTAGGAAGTGTAGAAAAATCAAAGCGTTTTGTGCAAGGGAAACGAACGTCATTAAGAATAAATTTGAGGCGAATTTTAATTATTAACAAGCCTGTGGCAACAAACTTAGAAAAAATTACGCACTTTGATTTTTTTAATGTGCGTTAAAATTTGGACAAAATTAACACACCTTTGAAAAAATTGTTTTAGTATACATGTTTACTTTTTTAAACTTTACCTTCAATATCTTCTGTAAAATCTTTGTATGTTCCAATTATGGGTCTCTCAAGATTAATTTCGTCCAACTGTTCAGATCCTATAAAAAATAGCTCCATATAATTCAGTTTAAACTATCAGCTACATTCAAAAAATGTTTAGACATTAGCTCAATATTACGTTCTTATGGAGGGTAATCGTGTTCAAAAATCCAGACTTGTAAATTTGTAAATGCAATCTTGTAAGTTTGTAAATCTGTAAATGCAATCTTGTAAGTTTGCAAATCTGTAAATGAAATCTTTTAAGTTTGTAAATCCAATCTTGTAATCGTATCAGTTTCATAGTATACATATGTAAGTAGGTAATTCAGACTTCCAAGCATGTAGTTCTGAAATTACAACTGTGTTGACTTTAAGTTCAAATTATGAATGTGTGTATCTTTGATGTTGTAAACTTTGTTTTCCGGAATTTATATTTCCGCGCTCTGAATAAAACACAAAGACAATTCACAACTCTTCAAATGTAAAGTCTACATGTTTGTCGAATTTTGATTACGAAAATTATGGAGGGCCATCAGTGCCACAATTGCTTTTTAAATTTTTTTTTTAATTTCATTATACTTTCTTGTTTTCCAAATTAAATACATGTAAATTTTAATGACTTCATTTTTTATTTCTTATTTTAGTTCTTACTTCTTCTTTATATTTTCAAGTTTTATTTAATTTCCTTCATGGTCCTAGGGGCGGGGGGGGGGGGGCGATATACATATATATAGAAAACTATAGAAAATATAGCTATTATATGCTTGTGCCCCCTCAATTTAAAAAAGTCTGATGACCTTTTTATTTATTGGGGAGGTATGGAGGAGAGAGTTTAGTTAAATTGATACTTAAAACAATCCAACTCTGAACTTCCCGGCCATGGCCTACGACGCAAACGCCCAACCATTAGGCAACTACGATAAATGCCCCAGGTTAGATCTTAAGGATGTATTCTTCTGATACACGGAAAAAAAAACGTGCATTAAACTTTCCACATGCTTATATTTTTCTGAAAGTGTAATATCCAAGGAATAATTTAAAGACAAGAAAAGTGTATGTTAGTGTTCATCTAAGAAAGATTCAACCCCTCTAACATAGGCCATTATAGAGCATGGGAAATTTCATTAAAATGGTTATTAGACCATAAAAATACCTCATAAACTTATAAATACAATCCATTTAAACATAATTTGGCTTAAATTTACTTGAAAGTATTGCAAAGTAAATTTTTTAAACAAAATTTGAGCAAATAAACACCAATTAGATAACTTGTATCCAAAAATGTTGTACACCGGTGTCAAAATTAGGCAAATTTTCCCCCATAAAATTGCTCCAAAAAATAGAGAAAACCATATTTCTACAATTAAACTTTTTGAGAAAATTGTTGCACAGTTTCTTTAGGTATTTTGGTTTCTTTTCATAGTATAAAAAGTAGGGGTTAGTGTACATATAAGAAAGTTTTGATATTTTTTATATCCCCACCCCCTATTTCTTTTTCAGCATTTAATGAAAATAAATTAAGGCATTTAGGCTTCAAAATATGCGTTTTATTCACAAAATATTCAAAATTTGTGTGATAATTTCAGATAATAATTGCAATTTTGTTTAGAAAAGCTTTTATGAACAAAAAGTAATTATTTAACACATAAAACTTCATAATGGTTCGTTAGATGTCCTCTCTTTCTCTTGCCCTGTGGGTTCTGGATTGGGTTCTGGTTTGTGGTGTTGGATGATGGCTTTCCTGGGATTAGTCAAATCCAGTCCCACTTTCTCAATCTGATTTGCATGGTTTTCTCCATCTGATTGTCGTGATTCCAAAAACCTGCTCTTTTCTAAAGTTCTTCATTTGTTATTCTTGTGACAACAAGACTTACCTGAAAAAAATTATTTTAGAAAAAAAAAATTATAATTACTATTAATTTCATTATTCAAAAAATGTAAAATCATTATTTTGTCTAACTGACTTTGTTTTTATGAACCCAGGCCTGTCGTTTAGAATCAAATAATTTCTCTCTACGTTTTATGATGTTTCAGAAATATTCTATTTTTTAACCCGAATAGGCCGCCATAGAAGGAAGCGACCTAGTTTCTTATTGAATGTAAACAGCTAAAAATTAGAGATGTTATCTTATTATTTTCGTACGGTATGTCTATAAATTTGGGATAGATATTCTGCATTTACAATATCAAATGAAATTTGTCATATGCTACGAGCTAAAGTTGCAATAAAAAGAATAATACGAATGCTGTCGTCTGCACAAATCTGAAAACGTTCCGTACATGTATGTGACATGTTTATGCAATGTTTCAGTTTGCGATGATACAGTATACCAGGCATTTAAAAACTTTTGTTTCTATAATGCATAAACATTGATATTTCAATAAGTTTTACAGCACTGGAAACCTACATTTTCGCTTTTCCACTGCTACTGGAACGTCGTCATTTCGGCGCTCTAGGCTGGCATGTTTGGGGCGCTGCTTTCGAGAATGTACATGGCCTGATTGTGATATCGGCGATTTTTAAAATGTTTTCAAATTTCTGTCGACTCTTTTATCGAGAATACTTTTAACGGAGCGTCATTCGGCATTCCTGTAGCTTTGAAAGGGGCGATCCCGTCTTCTTCCTCTCTCGATCATGTCGATTTCACTTCTTAGGCCTATGTCGTAAATATCGTAATTTTGCACACGTCTTGGTCATCAATACAACATAGAAAGATTTTTTAATTAAAAATAAATATAGTTAAACATGTAAATCATAAAAACTTTAAAAATTTGTTTGTAAATTGTTATCAGTTTGAATTTTACGACATGTCTAAGTACGAAGACCCACTTGGGGTAAATTGATCAGAAGAATTCATCCTTAATTATAATTGCAATAATATAATATTTGAAAAACATTCAGTAGATGCAGTTACGTATCAATATTCTTCGGGGGAAAGGGGGGGTCCCCCAAAAAAGAAATGACAAATATTAATTAAATAAACTGGTACATGTAAAACTTTTTTGGATCTTTCATTATAACTTTTCAGAAACTTTTTTTCAACGCAAGAATTAGCCAGAGTTTGGTGAATATGAAAGAAAAAGTGTGTTTGGGAGGGGGAATGCAGCCTATAGATGCATTTTCAAATCAAAACATCTGCTCATGATTATTTTCCACACAAAAAGTGGAGAGCCCAACATTTTGCCCCCTTTTCTTCTTCGGTCCTTAGACTTGTTGAAGTGGAAAAAAAAATCTCAGTCCTAATTTAAAGCTATATATGCCGTATTAGTGTTTTATTTTAAAAGTAATAAATATATGTGGTGTCTCATCAAGTTATATAAGTTATATACTTTCTGCAAATAAGACAATTCCACTCCATCACTTTTAAAAGTTATGAAATATTATTTGGTAAAAGTTATTTTCTCTCCGTGTCGGATAAAACACCCCTACTAATGTTATTGTGATTTAAATTCAAGACACGTGGTTTATGGTGATCTATTCAAAGGTTATAGGGTAGAACCGGTTTTTTAAATAAAATTGGCTGTAAACATGCTATTGCTATAGCCTGTTTTTTTTTAAAACATCTCCAGTAATAAATGTTTCCAAACTGTCTGAAAGACTTTCATCATTTTCAACAGAAAAAGGGTGGCTAAAGGAAGGGGTGTTAAAATAACAAAATATCTTATACTTTTCGGCGAAAATTAGAGCTCACTAGTGACCGATACTGTAAACCAACTTTTTTTCACGTGCGAGAAATTTTCGCGAAGTTCGCGAGGGCCTCGTCATCGCGAATATTTCTCGCCGCGAACCGGTCCTTGAAGTAGATGTAAATAAATCGTCGCGAACTAGTTTATCTCTGGTTAATCGCGAAATAAAGTCGTCGCGAATAAAAGTTGGTTTACAGTAATTCGCTGGTAAAAAATGTGAATTATCATCTACACTGACAAACCTTTGTTTGCCTTATTTGGTTATTGTTATAAATGCGCACAGAGGGTCTTACCACGAGCAACTGACCAATCGTTGAATGAATAGCAACGTTTACGCCAAATACATATTTATATTTTACTTCGAACACGTAGTTCAGGTCAATCTACGGTCATGTTAATGGACTGCAAATTAAAAAAAATGTTCTTACAAACAAAATACAAAGATAAGAATCTATGAAAGATGTTACGGGCGTTTTTTATTCGTTGTTAAATGGACAAAAATTTTACGTTTGTGATCACGTGTTTGGCAAGGGAATTCACCTGGCAATTGTATTCACCGATAGTACAACAAAGGAATTAATACAGACGCAAATCGCTTTTGCAGTATGACTTTCAGAAACCTGGACTTCCGCCGTTTATTTAACAAATGAATTGTTTGTCATTATGAGCATGAAAATGATATTTTTAAAAATGCTTTTCATTTACCATAAGGTTGTCCTTTTTTCAAGAGTAAAATTCCTGTAGTACTCGTAGTAACCCACAATACTCATTCAGCTGATTGGTCAGTTAAAATCATGCTGGTGCCTCATTTGATACTCTGACACCAAAAAATATAGTCCCCGTTCCCATGCAAAAATATTTGTCTAAAAAGAAATTTTATTTCATGACTGCAGAAAATTGTATTATAGAGGATACTTATTTAAGTTTGAATGAATGTAAAAGCGATTAATTGATTGAAATACATTTCTACAGACATTATCAGCTGATTCTAGGGTGGTGAAAACTGAAACGCAACATAACTTTTCTGTTTACCTTGCCTCCACGTGCTAGTCACTTCCTAGCCACATTTCCGTGAAAAATTTACCCTATCTCGCTGAAGTCTCGCTAACTCTCACCAAAGCCACTGCCAGAGCTTCTCTGAAGTCATCGGGTTTTATAATTTGCAGAACACCGAAAAATAAAAGGTTCCGAACACATTAGTAGGGGTGTAAAAAACCGCCTCTTATTGAAATATTCACGATCACGTTGTCGCGCATGTTTACAGCAAACAATGGTCCAATCTCGTGAATGAACCGAAAAGCATGATGGTCTACTACGTTTTTACTACAAACACGTGAGTTAGAGATTGTCAATATTGAGAGCACCTCAGAGTTGGTTGCTTTTCGTACCGACGAATAATCACGTGCAATTGTCTTTTCAATGGACATTTTCGGTCGGGTGAACTTCTACAGCTGTCAGCGACTATGGATAAAGGAAGTGTGGAAACCATGGTGTGCCAAAATGAAATAACCAATACAAACAAATGATATAATTTGATCAATCAAAATGGTTATTAGATACATTCGATTCTGCATTTCTTAATGGTTCAAAACAACAAAAGTATTCCACAGAATAGCATGTATAAATCTGCACAATATACCGAATGCCAAAACAAGAATACTACTAAATAATATAATTATATTCTTTACATATGAATCACAATATTTCTGACCCCTTGAAAATAATATAAAAAATCTTGCAAGTAGGTTATCAGCATTGGCTCGGGCTAGTTCGAAAGTGAAATTTGGAGTTTGGCGGTTAATTGTAGTGAATGAATAAAATTTAGTAGTGAAAGATATTGGAACCTATTTTACTTGTCAGATTTCTTAGAGCTAGTTGATTTTTATTCTAACTGTTCTATCCCCCCACCCACTTTAAAAAAACGATGCTACCTACCTGAATTAATTTTTCTTAATGGTGTTCATCGAAATACTTGGTTGTGCCCTCATACTGGAATAGTTTTTAGAGGCCTGGAATTCCTTGACCAATTTTATTTTATTAGCCCAACTATATTTCTAAGAAGGCAAGATGTATGGAATGTAAGTTTCATCTACATATGTTATGTAGTTCATATTAAAAAACCAGAAGGGATAATTGACGATATCCCATTCAGGGTGTAAACATAGCAGTTTAAAAAATTACTTTCCATACATTGTATTTGACATAAAATATGCGCTCCATACTGAAGATCCGTAAATTGTCACCCAACCGAAAATGTCCACTAGCAGTACAGCACGCGGAAACTCTAAACAAACGGACCTGTACAATGGAGTGGGGAAAACTTTAATTTTCATCATTGTTAATCATTTGTATGCAAATATGAGCATGGGATTAGTAGATAACAATGTACATAATGCATCGTCTTTCTGAGAGCGATTTAAAAAACTATAGCCTTTTTGAAAAACACATGTAGTATTTTATGTAGTAACCCATAAATGCATTAAATGCAACTCATTGAGCTGATTGGTCTATTTGTGTCCCTCACTGAACAGACGTCACAAAAAATATTTTCCTCGACCTGATGATTCTCGCGATGCTTTTCCCGCGCACATGCGCAGATCCAGGATAAACGTCAGTCCTTTATAAATATGCATGAGAATATCGTGTTCTTTTCCTGACCAGTACTTTGTTAATACCGAATAAAATTTCGTCGAATTTGCCAGAATGCTTCATTTTTGGTAGCTTATCATACTCCAGAAATTTTTGTTCGATTTCAGCTGTGCAAAAATACTGTTTAACACGGCATACATATCTTTAAAATCTTGTTATATCAATATCAACTGAAATATACCTGATATTTATATACAATATTAGCATGCAATCAGGAATGCATGGGGCCATATTTATCATATTTGAAACGTCATGCACCAGGGCCATTAATTAAACTTAGACGAGCTCACTGTTGCAATTGATCACAGTCTCACTTTCATCAAAGGATTAATTGTTGTTTAACGTCCCTCACGAGAATTTTCACTAATATAGAGACGCCACCATTAGCCGGTGGAGAGCTGCAAATTTTATCCTATGCTCGACACTTAGGGCCATATGGCAGCGAGGGATCTTTTTCGTGCCACTTCCCAAACTTGGTTTACTACAGGAAATTAGTAATAGAGAGACTGAATCAAAAGTGAGCTCATCTAAGTTTCATGGTCCCGGGCCGGACAGGGGGTGGGGAGCCAGTGTATTCTATGCCAATTACATGTAAATGAAAGTAATTTCTAATTGTGCCCAATTGTGGGTATATTCATAAGAAAAGAAATCAAGGCTAATTCATTGTTATATCCCCTAACAGTAATGCCTTTCGGGGGTCAAGAAATTTTTGTTTTGTGCCCACCCCAACCCCCATGAAACTACTTTTAACGGGCCTGAAAAGGAGAAGAAACACAAAAGAATAAAATCATATGGTTTTAAAAATAATAAAACAAAATTCATGTTCCAGGGAAAAATATCTACATAGTACGTGTCGTAGACTGTTCACGCAAGATCTCTGTGAACATGTAAAAAAGGCCAACGCGCTTATTTTCGTTTAAATTTCATTCGGGTTACGTACTTTTATTCTGTTGCGCACTGCAGTTCTACTCTCTTATTAAATCTTTCAATTCTTCTTAAATAGTTTTACCCCCAAAAAATAATAAGTTAGGAATAGTTCAACATAATTTGAAACATCAGATAAAATGAAAAAACGAAAGGAAGCAAAAAATAAAAATAATAATAATAAAGAGTAGGTCCGTAGGAAGCAACTTCAGTTGGGTGGGTGGGGTGGCAAAGCCATACATTTTCAGTTGGGGGACACTATATATCTACTACACCACCTCCTATTAAAAAGAAGTCATCAGACATTTTTATTGATGGGGTACAAGCATATATTAGCTATCATGTGTTTTCTTTAGTATTCTTTATATCGGCAAAATTATTGGGGCACGGCACATCATGGTTCACCCCTCCCCGGAGTCGTTGGAATTTATTTAATTTGGAAAAAAAAATATAATAATAATAATAATAATATTTTAAAAATGAAACAAGTATATTAAAAATAAATTATGGCACCGACACCCCTCCATAGTTTCTTGCAATCAAAATTTGACAAACATGTAGACTTTACATTTGTAGAGTTGTGAATTGATTTTGTGTTTTATTCAGAGCGTGGAAATATAAATTCCGGAAAACAAAGTTTACAACATCAAACATACACACATTTATAATTTGAACTTCAAGTCAACACAATTGTGTTTTCAGAACTACATGATTGGATGTCTGAATTACCTACTTACATATGTATACTATGAAACTGATACGATTACAAGTTTTGATTTACAAACTTACAAGATTGTATTTACAAACTTACAAGTCTGGATTTTTGAACACGATTACCCTCCATACTTTCTCAACTAAAATCTTAATATCAAGTAAAAATAGAAAAAACATGTTGTATTTTTTACATTATGAAAAACGTATATTTATCAATCTTATGAGTCTATAATTAAAAAGCCTGCTTTTAGTAATATTGATATAGTTATATTGGATCTTATATAAAATATTTGTCAGTGAATAAAATTATTTTTCTAGTCCATAATATTCTTTGTTTCAAAATAACTATGCATATTTCCTATCTTTTAATAATAAAGGCAGACAAAAACTTACCTTGAAAAATTTTTACTGTAGATGTTTTCCACTTGACAATTTCTGGATGTATTTGGAAGATACTTAGGAAATTTTTATTCAGTAAAAGTTTTGAAATACATTTGATAAAATCCACATCTCTCGTCTCGAAGTCTTTCACAAATTTCTTAAGGCAGTTGTCATCATCAAAATATAAAACAAGACTAATACATCCTTTCTCTAAAGTACTTTTTGTTGCTTCGTATTTATCTTGGACAGATAAAAGCAATTGACACATTTCTGCACCGATAGGAATTAAACTCTTTTGAATGTCTGGATCCTTGGTCAATTTTATGATAAATGTTTTCAAAAGTTCTCTGTCTCCAGCTTCCTGAATTTTATTAATTGTGTTATCCACTTGCTCGGTGATGGTTTTCTTTGTCCAGCCATCGTTTGTATTTTTTAAACTCTCTAACAGGAAATTAACTGCAGTCTCCAATAACTTTTTCTTTTCTTGTACTTCTGTATAAACTACTGCTTTTATCTTAGCGTTCTTTCTATTTTCTAAAAAAAAAGAAACAAACAAAGTAAAAGTATCGTTAGTTAACGTAATTGTTTAATCCAACATCAGTAGTCAACATTCATTCCAATGTTTTCAACAAAAATCATAGTAACTAAATAAAGGGGATGTTAAACATTAATTTATTCAATCAGTTCCGATTCCCTTTCAATATAGTTTTGAAATAAATGGCAATTACTAAGGTCGTTGGGACCAAATTTGATTGAGATTACCGGTGGTATATGTGACTAATGTATACTTTGTTGACCATTAAACAAACAAGTCAAATATTAGAGTAAAGTAAGCTTCTGTGACCCAATAATCAAAGTACAGGTATCTTGAAAACTCAAAAATATTTTTATCTCGAAAGGAAACTTAGACTGACAAGGGGGACATCTTTTTCCCACTGTAATCACTTGAAAGATTTTGGCAGCACAACTGTGTTCCTTTCTACTCCAATTGGTCATGACATAACTGAACTGACATAACAACTAAACATGTATATATCTGACATGATTTACATGGTTTTATCGTTCTAGAGAAGAGCATTTTCAAGATTGTTTCATTGTATGAATTGTTTATGATGATGTAGATCTTTGATTCTACCTCAACCCTACGCTTGCATGGCTTATAGTTAAACAATATTATTCCATACAATTCGTGAATGTTTGCATATTAATATGAATTCTCTATTTCAGTACAAAAGCTTTTTGAAAAAATAATTTAATAAACATTCCTGTGGAAACTTTCATCTGTTTGTGTAGGACTCTTCTATCCTGGAAAACGATGATATGAACAAATTTTAACCTGGTCGCATACTACATTATTACCAGGTTGTTATATATGCTGATAATGAAAAAAAGTTTTCTTCTTATATTTCTTGGAGATAAATTAATCTAACTATATCCCGGAGGCCATGAATTGAACAAACAAATTCAACTACCTGAGCATGTTTCAATATAATTTTTTTAATCAGGGCCTATGATTCTGAAGCATCGAAAGTAACCACAGAAAATAATAACTCTATTTTTTAACAACAAATGTTTACATTTACGCCGTATTCTCAAAATAACATGGTCCAAAACAATATCGAACGAATTTATGGGAGCAACAAGCCCTATCCACATAAACAAAAAGAAAATTGATGGATTGAATGATTGTATGTTTTTGTACGTCCGATTTGAGAATTATTCACTCCAATTTTGACCTTTACTGGGCACTCAGGGTCATTGAGCAGTGAGGGATCTTTAACGTGCAACATTTACATAAAGATTCCATATCCTGAATCCACCGCGTACTACCTGGAGGGAGGCACAATTTGATGACACTCTGCACTGCCTAAGACTGGTCGCATATATACCAATATCACGAATCATACCAAAGCTTTTTCTTAAGGAATATTCGTGTATGTTTCTATGTAAAAAGTTTTGATTACCTATATTGGCCCTACCCTGCATTCGTGGGCCATGATTTTAGAAAAATGATGTCATAAAATATTCCCTATTATATACATTTGAAAGAGTTTGTGATTGGCCCTTCCATTAAATAAGCAATGTCAATTCAATCCCCTTCACTCGAGGATGCCCTGTCTCATCGGCAATCGGAATTCAATGCATTTTGAAAAAGTTGACATCAATTCCTGTTCGTGGTTTCCCTGATTTGATCTGTCCAATTTTTACCTATAAATGCATGTCAAAGTGGACTTGGATACTTTATAAAAGAATAAAGCCAGAAGGGTCATCGCATACGTATGGAACTTTGCAAATCAGAGATAAAGTTTGTGCATTTAAAGCACAATTACAGATTATCCCCAGGACTAAGGTTATCTTTATATTTATTTACAGCTTTATGCTTCTGTGAGAAAATTAGGGTGTAACCATGTAGATTACGTTAAGAAATAAGGTGTCTCTCTCCATTTGGATATAGATTAAAGTGGGACAAAAGTCTGATTTGATCACGTAAATGTAAAAATCGTTATCTATATCAAATGTATTTTCAAAATTGAACGCTTTATATTGCTTAAATTTATAATTTTGACCATATCTGGAAAAATATATTTCAAGAATCACTCTGTAGCCTGCTTGTTAAAA